CTTTCCCTTCACTATGCTATATCAAGGGAACATGCTAAAATTTCTAAACTGAATCGATAATACTGTTTGAAACAAACCCACTGTTATTACTATGATTATTGTATTTATCATTCTCATTTTGTACTTCGAATATTTTTGACTTTATACCGTAGGAGTGGACAAATTCCTCTGGTTAATTTTATTAATATTTTGAGGAAATCAGATACAATATTGTGAGAAATGCTGAGAATTCCAAGCTGTATAATAAGTACTGTCTGTTTTTGGAATAAAGTAGATTATTATTATTACCATTATTATTATTATTATTATTATTATTATTATTACGAAGAGATGGGGAAAGAGGGACAGAAAGAGGCAATCAGAAGTCTGAAACATAAACACACAGAAGACGTTGACGCTTCAAAATTCCAACAGAGTGAAAAGAAATTGGAGATCAGATAAAATGTAGAGAAGGTAGACTGTTGGAGGCGGATTGAGTCGACGAAGGCTCTTTCCAAAGTTCCAAGGATCATACACTATCACTGAAAGACATATGTGTGTTTATTTCAGGCAAGCAGAAGCGTGTTAACACCAACCGATTTCACAGATGGGTACAGTAGAATAAGGAAAGTTTTCCAATGAAACACAACCAGCGACAACCGGATAACTTCAAGATTATTGAAGTTCATCAGTTTGATTCATCAGCTAACAGGGCGACGATGAGAACATGTATTTTGAAAACTGGTTAATTTCATTTGGGCTTATTATTCATCTTATTCAGTATTTTAATAACTCAAGTATTGGTTTGCCGGGATTCGATTGGTTTCAGGATTTCATCATAAAATGACATCGGTTAAAAAGAACCATCGGAAAACCAGCACTGGATTACTGGAAAGACAGCTGTTTCGACAGACTAGCTTGGGACTCTTCATCAGTGAGCACCCACTGCCAGGGTTCGAACTCAGGACCTTCTGGTTACAAGGCGAGTTACCTCGTAAATCACTAAGCCACTGGGTGTTGATCCAATGGCCAGTCAGTGCATGAATTCCAACTTCTGACAATTCACTAGCGAATATCATCGCTGGCGAGTATTTTGTGTCACACCCGACCACCTGCTGTACCCCAATGATCACGATTTCCCACCAGAAACCAGGCAACTATCCAAGCTGAATACGACCAGTCACCTATAGTGAGCATCAGAATGACAGTCAAGTCAAGTATTGATTTGCAGGGATTTGATTAGTCTCAGGACTACATCATGAAGAGTTAGTCCCAGACTAGTCTGACGTAACAGCTGTCTATCCAGTACTCCACTGCTGGTTCACCAACGGTCCTCTAACCGATATCAGCTCATGATGAAATCTTGAAACCGTGTTAATAATTAATAAAGTAAGGATATCTAATTCATCATTGAATCACAAGTGATTCAGTAAATTTTGTGTTTTTTTTCTGTTTTTTTTAACGTCCACTATTCTACAGATGCACCTTTTTATAACACACCTGATCCCGATCATATATCTGCATGTTTATATTTGAATTCATTCCAGTTAGCAGGTGAAAATTCTCCTCTCATGTGACAACAAACCAAACCGATCTCTCGAACGAATGGAGAATCATAACTGTATAATAATAATAACAACAATAATAATAATAACGATATTTCCTGCAGTTGGTTTGTAAAGATTAGTTTTGTTTATTTCGAGTTGATCACGGAGGATTGATACCTTCAGGGAGAGAACCATTGAAAACTAGCACTGGAGTAATGAACAGACAGCTGTTTTATCAGCCTAGTTTGGGAATCATCATCGGCAGTACTCACCCATACGGCGGGGTTCGAATCCAAGACCTTCCGATAGCTTTATTACGAAAAAAATGCATTCCTATACAACACAGAACTTTCAGTGAGCTTCACTGCGAGGTGTTTACCCCTTGTACAGAATATCTTCAAGTAATATACTAATCGACAATATATCATCTGAAGCAGCATTGGTAATAATAGTAACTTTATTTTATGCAGAGTTTATATATGGTACAAAATTTTCAGCATAGTTTATGGCATGATATTTTGTCTTCATCCGAAATCTTGAAAAAAAATCTCACTCGACAGTAGACTATATGAAACACTTCTGCCTGACATGAAGGGCATATCGAGAAATTATGATGTCTCTCCTTCGTATTCTTTGGTAAATGCATGTAATTCGGTTGAATGGCAATTAGAGAAAGGTTTAGATATCCGTTCTATGAACCAAGGACACAACCCATGAACAGCTAGCTATCTCTTGCATCGCAATAAACCCCAACCTACGTTTATTATTTTTTTCTCACGGTAATTAGAAACTTGTGAATCAACAAGTTGTAAGCGTGTGGTGAGAGCTGTCTACTAGCCGAAATTGGAAGACAGCAATTTACGTCAATGTTTACGTCCCAAATCTTGGTCATGAGAAAACTATCCACAAATAAGTCTGCTACTATCGGGGATTCCATTTCCACCCGATTCGTTTCTTTCTATAGTTTATTTTGAAATTTGAATACAGTAGAGGTTAGACATCGCTGAACAACTAATATTATTTCATCAACCAAGAGCAGAGCTTAGTCCTGCTTTCGAGTGGAGGATCAATGATCAGTTTATTCCTAACTGCCTCCAGACCTGTAACTAATGGGAATTTAAGTATAAAAACTGGTTATGTCAAAACTAATAAGTAACCAAGATGAATACAGTAATCATATAATATTGTCATTAGATGCTCATAGGCAATCGGAAGGAAGCTTTGGATCACCTATGTTTCGTACTTGTTGGCACTCATCAGTAAGTAAGGCATATATCTTCGAGCTGGAAGGAACTCATGTCCCTGTTGAGATTCGAACCCGAGCCATCCAGTAGTGCCGCAATCAGTAAGACACGCTTATCACTGAGCCTATTCAGGTTCGCAAGATTGTAGAAACGTCTTGCTGACGAGTGCCAAAAAGCCAACACCTCCCGCCGACTGCCTTCAACCCTCTGATAATAACAACGATTCGGAGTGCACCATGATGTCGAGTTTCACCACCTGAGCATCGTGGTCACCGCCACATTGGAAAAACTTGACTGACAATAGATTTCAGTCTGCAGCATAACAAAGAATGAGACACTCATGTTACTAGTGACTACCTCTAGTGTACAATCGATAATCTATAATAATGTATGTAAATATGACGAAGTTCAACAATAACGTCCAAGGAGTGTGAACGCTCAGATGACTTTGAACGCATGCTAGTCATTGGCTAAAGAAACCTACGGTTATTCTAGCGCAAAAATGAACGCTGTTCATGAGCTCAGATGCAAATTTCACCAAGATCTCTTTTTTATATACTGTCTGGATAATGGGCTGATAGGATGTATTGGCATATGAAGTTGTGGTGCTTCAATGAACCTGCAACCGTATTCACAAGTTATTGATAGATAGATATTTAGATGTACAGAGTGTAGGAAACGAACAAGTGTTCGTACTGATAAGTGACAACACACTCAGTTAATTGTTTTCTAAGGAACTTTCTTTGCAAAATCTAAACTTTCTTTTACAAATATACTGTTATTTTTTGCGTTTACTGGATATTGAAGTCTGGAGTGAGGTCAACACCCGCTCAGGAGTTATCGTTCACATCGACGAAACAGTGCTGATAAAATAAAGAAATACAATCGTGGTCGTCCTAGAGTTAACAACGTTTGGGTATTGGGAATTTATGACACCCAAATTCCAAAGGGGATGATGATGGAAGTTATTCCAAACCGAAGTGCCAACACTCTTCTGCTTATTATGCAGAGACTCGTTTTGCCTGGCACTACTTCTATCACCACACCGATGATGAATGACCGGGAGATAACCGCTTATTGAGTTAACCATTCGGATGATTTCGTCAATCCCACAACTGACACTCATACCAATTCAATAGAGGGTTTCTGCGGAAGACTAAAAAATAGGATAAAAGCAATAAACGGCTCTCAAAACCAAGTTATTTTCAGTCACCTGGATGAATATATGCATAGAAACTGACACTCTTCATTATAATTGGGACGCGTATTTTTGAGCTATATCAGAGAAAAATACCCTGTTTTAATGTGTTTTCATGCATTTTTTGTTGTTATGAATATACGTCATTTTTTTGGGGGCAAAAAACCCTCATTTTTATGATTGGTCGGCTCAATATAAATATATTATTTAATTGGTGGATGGTGACTAGTAGTAGTGGAATCCAGGATAAAGCGCATTCCAGCCTATTTTGGACTCGTCATTTGCATGTACCTAAATTCCGCAGTGAGTGATAATCTTCCCACCGAGGCTCGAACCCATTGCCCATAGTTTCAAACACGTCAAAGCGTTATTCACTAGCCCACTCGGCAGGCACATCCAGCTGACGAGGAGTCAAACAATAGGACGAAATACGCTGTATCCTGGATTCCACTACTACTAGTCACCATCCATCCATCCACCAATTCACTTATAATTTCACGCCCAAACATCGTCGAAGCATCTGTACAAGGAGAAGCCGACATGTCAATCGCAGACCGAGCACACTTCGGTCCAATCAATAGACGGGAAAATCTAAAATTGAATTAAATATAAATATATTATTATTATCATTATTTGTAAAACCGGTTGAAATATAACCATGAATAAACTACAGAGAAGGAAAGTGATACAAATATGAAATATGTGTATCCATGTAAAATAAAAGAGAATATTTGAAATATGCAGCTGTTGGTGTTTAAATGACCCTAAAACACATAAAATACGCGTTGACAACTGTACACTATGTTCAAAACACTCACATACACACAGACAGGCACGCACGCACGAACGTACGTACGCGTACTCTAACTACAAAGGTCATGCAGTATGTGTATGTATACGTGCAAAGCAGAAGTGATAATTACTGAGTGATATACCGGTTTTCTTTTTTGTTATTTTTTTTGACTAACAGCAATACATACAAAAAAGGTATAGATTGTGTTACAATTCATAGAGTTAAATAGTTACAGTTGTTCAATGAAATTTATATTGTTTCAACGCTTTTAAAAATGTTCGAAGCGGCATATTTGGATATTCTGTTTTAATTTCAATATACTTTTTTCCACCAGTGTCTACAGGTTTACCATCGATATAACGTATGTGGGATTGTTTTTTCTCATATTCCTGGAAGGTTTTCGTTTTATGGGGAAAACGTTGCGGAAACACAACGAAAAAAAAACAATCAGCAAAGGTAAAAAATTAAACAAAGAATATTTTTTCGAATGAGATCTGCAACACTATACAACACCTATCTACAGAAAACGATAATCCGAGATCACGATGTTATTAATCATATAGATGAAATGATACCGACTGACTGGTTTCAAAGTAGAACTTTGCACGGGTGTGCAGCACTTCGAGTTGCCACACTCTCGCCTTGTAGTACACAAAGCAAGAGAAGAAAGTAGAGAGAGACAGGTAATAAACAAGTGTGAGGCGAATAGAATAGTAACATGGAAGAACAGTAGAGTTTTATTGGATATTATAAATCACAAAGTGTGAATGCATGTGCGCCGTCTGAGCCATATCACCAATTGTCTCTAGCCTTCGTTGGTTTTTACCATCTCGAGGACGCCAACGAGTCAGTCAGGAAGTCCTACACCTCCCTACGTGACTGGCTGTCTGGTTGGCTTAAACTAACCGTTGTGGATTTCATGGACTGATATCACGTTTCGTTTTGACCAAGCAGCATTAGCTCTTTTCCAACCTGATCAATCTTATGACAGTCAGATAATATTGTTCGTCGAGGAAGGCGATGCTTAAGCTGGGCATGCGTAATACATGTCCTAACCATCTCCCTTAATTGGTGATTGATTTCCCTTCCCACTGACCTAGAACTCGACCAACACCTAACGTCAATATTTCTCACCTGATTATGCCACCTAACACACGGGAGACAGAACACAGACACCTATGATAAGAGATAAATAGCCAGGTTTTTCATTTCTCCCATTTTCAATGGTCATGTCTCACAGCCATAATGGAGAAGAGAGTGAGCTGTTGCTGTGCTGTGCTGTGCAGTACACACGCCTGTTGGTCGACAGCCAGCAAACCGGATATCACGTCTACTAAGCCAGAGATGGTGTAAGTTGGCATATGCCCAAGGAGGCTTCTGCATCCATGGCTGAAATTTCAGCAGTAAGTGGAATCTGAATGGGAAACAAAGTTGGGCGTAAGTTTGATAGTGACAAGCGGAGGTTCTGTGAGGAGGAGATGAGAGCTTATGAAGAGTCGTTAGGCCAACTTAAGACGCCTTCAGGGAACAGGATAGCATGGGGATGTGCTATGGAAGCCCTATGTTCTACTCGGAACCCAAGAGAATAATAGTAACCACACCACGAATAGTACTAGGTGTTCCTTAATCCACAGATTAGTTATGTTAAAATAACACTGAGTAATCACTATTATTATTATTCCCTTGGGTTCCGAGTGGGGAACATAGGACTTCAACAACACAACTCCACCTCATTCTATTTCCCGCTGTCTTTTTCTCTTCAGTTGGCTAGGCCCACGATTACTGCCCATAATCTCTCATCTCCCAATCTCTCACTCTCTCACTGCTGTGATTGGTTGTTGAGTTCCTCAAGGTTGGGCTTTGTTATCTCGTTGTTTATCTCGTGACCCCCATTCGGGACGTAAACATTAACGTGAATTAGTGTCTACAATATTGGCTAGCAGACAGCTCTCACCACACTCTATTACATTTTTATGCTTATTATAATTGAACACAATTTTACATATATCTCTCATCAAAATGGGATACATGTGAAGAGGAGGAGCAGAAGCAGAAGGAAAAGAAGAAGGCGAAGACGGAGAAGAAGAAGCGGAAGTGTCATGAAACATTCATTGATAAACGGCCATTCTAATGTCAACACTGTCTGTCTATCTGATATGATGAGTGCTCAACGGTTTCGAAGGATGAACAGGAGGACAACGAAGGAAGGAAGGAAATGGTACATAGAAAGTCATGTATCTCCCCTCCTGATGAGGTCGGCTTGATCACATGTGAGACTTTCTACGAAGCCCTGGTACTTTCGCTTCAGCGAATTTAAGCATACTGATCACTTCACTTTCTCCTTAGTCATTTGGAATGCCGCGTCAAACTGGGGCTTGTATAATAAATATAATTTAGGACAAGTTATGCCGAGAACAAACGCGATGGTTATCAGGGTAAGCAAATTAAACCAAGCACCTACTACCGAAAGTAGATAGGTATAAAGACACAAGGAACTTTGCAGTCTCATAGTAATCTTGCAACCACATTACGCGACGTAAATAATTCAACTTTTCGGACAATCTTTCACACAAAGCTGGGACACGCTCGGCAATTTTTTCTTGAGGTGGTAAAGTGATGTTCAATTCAAGCCAATACTTAAATGGGTGGTGGTCTTTCGATGAATCCTGATTTGATTTGAATGGACGCGTAGCGTGATACCATTATAAAGCTTGCAAGCCGTAGTGCAGCACATTAACGAAATTCCGGCGTAAGCGATAAAAGAAATCAGGGACATACATGACAGACTCAAGAGGAATGTCAGCCCAACAGCTGCAACAATACCCGACTTGATGGGATCATGCCAACTAACAATTTCTTTCACAAAATCCATTGCCGTTCTGCGGTTTGTATAACGTCAAGAACTTTTGACATTACAGTTGTTGACGTTATACAAACCGCAGAACGGCAATGGATTTTGTGAAAGAAATTGTTAGTTGGCATGATCCCATCAAGTCGGGTATTGTTGCAGCTGTTGGGCTGACATTCCTCTTGAGTCTGTCATGTATGTCCCTGATTTCTTTTATCGCTTACGCCGGAATTTCGTTAATGTGCTGCACTACGGCTTGCAAGCTTTATAATGGTATCACGCTACGCGTCCATTCAAATCAAATCAGGATTCATCGAAAGACCACCACCCATTTAAGTATTGGCTTGAATTGAACATCACTTTACCACCTCAAGAAAAAATTGCCGAGCGTGTCCCAGCTTTGTGTGAAAGATTGTCCGAAAAGTTGAATTATTTACGTCGCGTAATGTGGTTGCAAGATTACTATGAGACTGCAAAGTTCCTTGTGTCTTTATACCTATCTACTTTCGGTAGTAGGTGCTTGGTTTAATTTGCTTACCCTGATAACCATCGCGTTTGTTCTCGGCATAACTTGTCCTAAATTATATTTATTATACAAGCCCCAGTTTGACGCGGCATTCCAAATGACTAAGGAGAAAGTGAAGTGTGATCAGTATGCTTAAATTCGCTGAAGCGAAAGTACCAGGGCTTCGTAGAAAGTCTCACATGTGATCAAGCCGACCTCATCAGGAGGGGAGATACATGACTTTCTATGTACCATTTCCTTCCTTCCTTCGTTGTCCTCCTGTTCATCCTTCGAAACCGTTGAGCACTCATCATATCAGATAGACAGACAGTGTTGACATTAGAATGGCCGTTTATCAATGAATGTTTCATGACACTTCCGCTTCTTCTTCTCCGTCTTCGCCTTCTTCTTTTCCTTCTGCTTCTGCTCCTCCTCTTCACATGTATCCCATTTTGATGAGAGATATATGTAAAATTGTGTTCAATTATAATAAGCATAAAAATGTAATAGAGTGTGGTGAGAGCTGTCTGCTAGCCAATATTGTAGACACTAATTCACGTTAATGTTTACGTCCCGAATGGGGGTCACGAGATAAACAACGAGATAACAAAGCCCAACCTTGAGGAACTCAACAACCAATCACAGCAGTGAGAGAGTGAGAGATTGGGAGATGAGAGATTATGGGCAGTAATCGTGGGCCTAGCCAACTGAAGAGAAAAAGACAGCGGGAAATAGAATGAGGTGGAGTTGTGTTGTTGAAGTCCTATGTTCCCCACTCGGAACCCAAGGGAATAATAATAATAGTGATTACTCAGTGTTATTTTAACATAACTAATCTGTGGATTAAGGAACACCTAGTACTATTCGTGGTGTGGTTACTATTATTCTCTTAGGTTCCGAGTAGAACATAGGGCTTCAATAGCACATCCCCATGCTATCCTGTTCTCTGAAGGCGTCTTAAGTTGGCCTAACGACTCTTCATAAGCTCTCATCTCCTCCTCACAGAATCTCCGCTTGTCACTTTCAAACTTACGCCCAACTTTGTTTCCCATTCAGATTCCACTTACTGCTGAAATTTCAGCCATGGATGCAGAAGCCTCCTTGGGCATATGCCAACTTACACCATCTCTGGCTTAGTAGACGTGATATCCGGTTTGCTGGCTGTCGACCAACAGGCGTGTGTACTGCACAGCACAGCACAGCAACAGCTCACTCTCTTCTCCATTATGGCTGTGAGACATGACCATTGAAAATGGGAGAAATGAAAAACCTGGCTATTTATCTCTTATCATAGGTGTCTGTGTTCTGTCTCCCGTGTGTTAGGTGGCATAATCAGGTGAGAAATATTGACGTTAGGTGTTGGTCGAGTTCTAGGTCAGTGGGAAGGGAAATCAATCACCAATTAAGGGAGATGGTTAGGACATGTATTACGCATGCCCAGCTTAAGCATCGCCTTCATCGACGAACAATATTATCTGACTGTCATAAGATTGATCAGGTTGGAAAAGAGCTAATGCTGCTTGGTCAAAACGAAACGTGATATCAGTCCATGAAATCCACAACGGTTAGTTTAAGCCAACCAGACAGCCAGTCACGTAGGGAGGTGTAGGACTTCCTGACTGACTCGTTGGCGTCCTCGAGATGGTAAAAACCAACGAAGGCTAGAGACAATTGGTGATATGGCTCAGACGGCGCACATGCATTCACACTTTGTGATTTATAATATCCAATAAAACTATTCTATTCGCCTCACGCGTCTGTTTATTATCTGTCTCTCTCTACTTTCTTCTCTTGCTTTGTGTACTACAAGGAGAGAGTGTGGCAACTCGAAGTGCTGCACACCCGTGCAAAGTTCTACTTTGAAACCAGTCAGTCAGTCAGTCAGTCAGTACCATTTCATTTATATAATTAATTAGAACCTGATTCAAGATTATTGATTTCCGAATATAGGTGTAGGATAGTGTTGCAGAACTACTTCTTTACGTTCAGAATGTGAATAATCGAACAGGTAATCAACCCATGGAGGCATATGCTACTAATTAACTGATATGAGTGGTGGCGAACCCCACTCACACCAGACAGTTGTTTCGCTCACTTAGGATCAAGCTGATCAGTGGTGTACCGAGGCAGATTCAACTTAGATTGTTGATTGTGATTGTGTGATAGCTGAGATATTGCCCGGGAGCCTAGACCACAGCAGGTGCTTATCCTAAGGGACCAACCCCTAAGCCTCTGACTTGGAGTCTAATCCACAAGGCAGCGTCAGGAGCTACGTTTCGATGGTTGCCGCTGACCTATACAGGTTCATACGCTATTTGATCCGATTGGATTCTGGAGCGCATATACCTACCTCATAGTCTGTCTGTCTGTCTGTTTTCGACATAGAACTTTGCACGTATGTGCGGCAGTTCAAGTCGCCACACGGCAGTTCAAGTCGCCACACCTCATAGTAACTCATACCTCATAGTAACTGCTTTCAGTCTAATCGCTATCTAAACAACCTTCGTGACATGGTAGGACCTGCAAGAACATAAGTCCCAGCCAGTGTAGCTTGTTGGGGTCACTGCGGTATCCAAGCCTGACCATCATGAGGTGGTGGAGGTGAGGTTGCCAGACTGGAGATTCAGCTTAGAGAGCTGAAGGTGGTACGTAGGTATCAAGCAGATCGTATACTGCGATGACAATAATTTTGGTTTTGAAAAAGGAAACCGCAGTGAGTTTTCCCACCTGAAAATGTGTAATTTCAAAATTTCGAATTCCGGTTCTGGATAAATGTATTCAACTTATTGAAGTCTTCAATATTTCCCTATTTAACTTGAATTTGTAATTCGAATTTATTCTTGAAATTAATCGATATACAATAAATCATTCTATTGAATTAATTATGTAATTATTCCAAGTCAATAAATTAAAATCAGAAAATAGATTAATAAAGCAAGTAGTCAATAAAGGATTTACTTACTTATGATTACGTACCTAATGTGTGCGCAAAGAGGTTTATGATGGTAGCCAGTTGTTCAAATCGATGCAGACAGAGTGTGATTTGAATCCGAGATAGATTAGTTGCTAAGTTGTGTTCACTGCCTTTACACAGCGAGGGTGTTCCTCACAAGATATATATATATATATATTATTCCCTTGGGTGCCGAGTGGAACATAGGGCTTCAACAACACATATTCACTGTCCGCTTCATCTGGCTAACCCGCAGATCGCCCATAACATCTCATCTCCTACTCCTTCTCTCCAACACACCATCTCCTCCATGTCACCCTCGCACTCACCACCCAGTGGTCGCTTCCCGTTCGGATTCCAATTGGGTGATAGCCTGTATTGATTGAGCTTGATGTCATTCGACCGACAGCCTCCTCCTCACTGGCGTGTATACCCGATCAATCCATCTCGGATCGTTCCACTGAAGAGCTTCTTCTGGCTAATTCTTACTCGCCGGCCATTTGACCCTCAATATGGAGCGGATGCACCTATTGATAAAAGTCTGCACTGACCTGTTGGAAATGCTTCTGTGACACGCTGGCCAAGTTTCTGACCCATATAGAAGAAGACAGGTGTCGAATCATTCATATTACACGTATTCTCTTCAGTTGACTCGATCAATAAAGCTTCTGTTCTGTTAACAGTCTGCCCCTCCACCCTATTTCATTAGATTAGATTTTAGAACGAACTGTCATCTTATCCCATCATCCTATTGCATTGTTGGTTGTGTGTAATTACATGTTGTGAGTGCTGTAGCTGAACTAACTATTCTCCAGGTTTCTTATTTCATTAGGGTGAACTAATCTAGATTTTGCTGCAAGGTTTTTTGTGCTTCGCTAGTCTGACTGATTGACTGACACTATTCTACTACTTTGACCTGACACACAATCATTCAAGCAGCAGGGTATTAGATAAACTAAATTGTTTCATTAAATTGGCTCCACAGGATTGATCCTTTAATCGACAAAGCTTATTTCAAATTGACTTTGTGGGTTGGAATGCCAGCCACTTTTATTCCTGCCTGCATTGTTAAGAATTCTCCACAGTAAGGTTTCCGAGGTTCCTTCCTTCTATGGACTTACTACTGATGATTTAGATTCCTTTTTTGTTGGTGTTGTCATCAGTCTGTGCATGTTTGACATCCATGTCGTCATTGATATTACTATTATTATTATTATTATTATTATCATCATCACTATCACTACTATCATTACTTATTTTATTTTTACATTTCCCTACATACTTCCTTATTAATTTATCAGGGTAGTTATTAAGTTTTAAAGCTTCTCTCATATGCCTCACTTTCTGTCTTAGATTTCCCTTGGTACCATTTAGTTTTTTTGCTCTATTACCAAGACATTTCACCAATCCTATTTTTTACTGACGTGAGGTAAAATCATCGGAAATCCAAATATCGGTCAAGATAACGGACCCGAGTAAGATAAGAAATCTGGAGAATAGTTAGTTCAGCTATACCACTCACTACATGCAAATGCACAACCAACACACAACCAACCATACAACAGGATGATGGGATAAAATGATAGTTATAAAATCTAATCTAATATAACAGGATGAAGGGAGAGATTGATAACAGAAGCTTTATTTATTGGAGTCAACTGAAGAGAGTACGTGTAATAGAAATGATTCAACAGTTGTCCAACCACCCTCACATCTGGAAAATTCTACTACCCCTAGGACGACGAATAGGAAGGAATGAGGAAAACTATAAAAACAAACTTAAATTTCAAAGTCGTGTGATTATAACTGGCGATATGAATATGAACAATAAATAAAATAAATTTTGTTCGAAACCTTCTCACATCCAGTATATAATAATACTGTTTCACTGACTGTATGTGATATATCCATCTAATAAACAAACTGATACGGAATTACTTACTATCACAGTGGCCAAGTTTTACACACATATTTTAGGATGAAACACTAGTTAAACAATAGACAAAACATACACTTGGTAATTTTGGTTTTGCCAGCTGACCACCACCACCACCACCACCGCCTTCTGATACGAAGTCATAACGATCAAGAACTAAAGATTTCGCCTTTTCATCAAGTTTCTCATCGATATCAGCTGTTGTTGTTGTTGTGGTTGTTGACGGTGATGACTTTGAGGCGGTGACTATAGTTTTATTTCTTTTTGAAGTATTCAATTCTTTACCAGTTGTGTTATCACTGTTATTATTACTATTACTATTCAGTGTGATCCGATTCAATGCGAGTAGAACTGCTTCATCGACATTGTTATTAGTTGTTTGTAAACAATCCTTGAGAATATTTCGGCAAGCCTTAAGAAGAGAGAAAAGGAGGATGGAAAAATAAGTGGGAAAATGAAGCATATACGTACGTGTGCATAGAACACACAGCTTCCAATCTCGCTGTGAATGGTCAACGAACTCGGCCTTGTAACCTGGGTTCAATTCCTGGCGGTGGAGCTAGTACGAAACAGCCAGCCAATCCTCTCTGGTACCTAATGATTCTTTCTAACCAACATCAACGCGTGATGCAACTGGAGACAAATCTAATCCCTACAAAGAAACTCTTGAGAGCTAATCTGATTCGAACTCGGGGCCTATTGGTGGTGGGAAGTCAAATGCTCAAGCCAATAAGCTGAATCGGTCTGAATAATGAAAATTTCACCTGTCTTCTATGTTGAAGTAATCTAGTGGATAGTGACTAGCATTTCGTCCTGTCTAGGACTCATCATTTCGATGTACCTACAATCCCCACTGGGTGATAATGTTCCTACTGGTACTCGAACCAAGGTACCAATCATTTACGACACCAAAGCGTTAGTTACTAGACCACTTGAACCACCACCTCTTGTGAAACTGGCATCCGTTAATATTTGTTTGTCAAATCGAGAATCGGGAAGGCAAGAAACACATTCATCAACCTGAAACCAATCTGGAAATCTTCCTCACTCAACTCAGCATCAACAACAAAATGATTCGGATTTTCAATACAAACGTCAAGTCAGTTCTTCTATACGTAGGGATCAGAAACTTGGCGGGTCACAAAGAATATTTCCAACAGCCTGTTGCAGACCTTCATCAACAACTGTCTTCGCTCTATACTCAAGATCAGATGGCCGGAAAGAACAAGAACCAACAAGAAACTATGGGAACAAACAAAACAAGAACCAATCGCCGCCCGACAAATATGCAGGAGAAAGTGGAGATGGATTGGACACTCGCTGAGGAGGCCACTGGGTGACATCACGCGTCAGGCCATAGCTCGAGTGGAACCCGAAAGGGAAGCGGCTAGTGGGACAACCAAGGGTGACATGGAGGAGATCGTGTGAAGAGGGGATGAAACAGTATGGACTAATATGGATGCAGGTGAAAAGTACAGCAAAAGAGAGAAACAAGTGGAGACGTGCAGTTGAAGCCCTATGTTCCACTAGGAACCCAAGGGAACAATAATAATAATAATAATTTTTTGATTTTCCCGCCAACTGACTGAACTAAAATGTTCAGCTTCTGTTAACTCGTTGCCTCCAAGTACGGATGCTTCAACAGTGTCTAAGGGTTCACTTGGAATAACTTAGTAGATTGTGACTAGCAGTGGACTGTTACTACACAAGATGTGCATTTCGTCCTATTTGCGACTCGTCACCAGCTGGATGTACTTGCATTCCTCCTTAGTCAGTGATAATGTTCCCAGTGAACCTTAACCCCAGTGACCATCGTTGCAGTGGACATTGGGATTGGCAAAATCAAAATTGGATTCGAAATAAACAATAGCTTCTACATCGATGCAAGGATTGGCGGGGCGTTGTGCTGCTGTCTATCCCAAGCAAAATACTAAGCCGCATCATCCTGGAGAGAATCAAACACACCAACCTGGGTGAAAAACTTCGACTGAAACAGGCTGGATTCAAGAGAAACAAGTCATGTATCGATCAAATCGCAACACTATGTATCATCATTGAACAGAGCTTGGAGTAGCAGTCAGCTCTCTACCTCTGCCTCAACTTCAGTGACTTTGAAAAGGCCTTCGACAGCATCGATCGAGAAATGATTTGGAAACTACTTCGCTACTATGGGGTGCCGCCAACAATTATACACCTCATCCAGCAGTTATACGATAATGCTGAGTGCCAAGTAATCCACAACAGGAAATTCACGGAATCCTTCGACGTGAGAACGGAAGTAAGACAAGGTTGTCCTACTATCTCCAATGATTTTCCTGACTTCGGTAGACTGGATAATGTGACAGACAGCGGGCAGTGAGGAAACAGGCATAAAATGGACCCACAAAAAAAAAATTGGAGGATCTGGACTTTGTCGATGATATATGTCTGATTTCCCACAAACTAGATGTGCAAGTGAAAAGCAACAAGTTGGAGAGAGAAGAAGCATCAAAGATAGGAAAGACTTCAGGTGAACATAGAGAAAACAGAGGTAGGTGATGAAGATTTCTGGCCAACAGTAACAGTAACAACGGCATACAACAATCACCATAAATGGGAAAAATCTGAAAGAAGCAATCTCTTTCACCTACCTACCGACCTGGGAAGCATCGTTTCAACTACAGGCGGACGGAACTGATGAGGATATCGAAGCGAAGATCGAGAAAGCAAGGCAAGGTTTCATTTCTCTCAAGTCTGTGTGGAGACCAACAGCACTACTCAACACTCAGCATGAAAATTAAGATGTGAATTTTCAGCTCCAATGTGAAGTCAGTGCTGAAGCAGTCTCCAAATTACTTCTCAGTCAACGCTGTCTGTCAAAAGTCTTATCGAAGTCACGGAAGCCCGAAATACTCCATCTCATTGTTCACGTAACAGCGCTCACAGTACACATGCTTCAATAATATCTGAAGATGAATATGACACTATTTATTCATCCCCTAGTCATGCACAACATTTTAGCATCTGAGACTACAGGTCCCAGGTTCGAGTCTCACTGGGAACACAGTTCATTCACACTGGGGATAAACGGGTGGATTAGTTGAAGACGCCTAAATAGGACGAAACATGCATCATGAGTTTCGCCTGCTAGTCTGTTAGCATCAATCAAATAATAACAAAAATGGTTTTTATTTTCATTCATTTGCGTTCTCACCGGAACATAAGGAATTAAGCTTTGAAGTTCTCAGTAGCGATGGGGTTGTCAGACTCACACCCCTAATCTTTTCTCTTTTCTGAGCTTATTATCCGCAGGAAGACTAGGAGAGGTTTAGGAATGCATCCATCACGAATCGGACCCAGACCTCCCATCACCCACCATCAATAAAAAAATAATAACCAAGATAATGATAATAATAAATACTAAATACTCACATCAGGTAGGATTGAAGCTAATGTTTTAACAGATTCATCCGCATCGATTTGCCTGCAATTTGTACAACAGTGTTCACAAAGTCGGTCAGTATTTTGATCTGTAACAGAAAAATAACTGATTTCATCTGTTAAGCAGGTTATATCATTATATTATTTTTAATGTACAAAACATTCATGAATAATCTTCAATCAAGGCATTAATGCGAAGAACAAAATCAGTGGTTCAGCGAGGCGGTATAGTCGCAGAAAGGCAAAAGTAGGTGCTGTACATCATCTCCTTTGAACGGCAAACTGATATAGACAGGTTTCTTCGGAACTGTTTGGATTGTTTTGCAGGGCCTATTTTCTGTAGAGTATTTATTAATGAACTTCTCAGGATATCCATTCTTAGATAAAATATCCTTCAGAGATTTTATTTCATGCTCAACAGTACTGTCAGAACAAATTTTTCGTGCTCTACTGAACAGTGTTCTTTTTCTACTGGATTAGAACAAATCTCTTGAAATGCAGCGAAAAGTGGCCCCAAAGGGCTTCCAATTGCGACACCATCAACTTGACCGAATAGACGCCTGTCGAATTGGAATTGGACATTTTTAGTACATACAAGTAGCAATTTCCTCAATTCCGATGTTGGAATGGGTATGTCTTCAGCTTCTTTACATATGAAGTCGATAGTCTCAACGACTGGCACATTTGTGAAGAGGGAGGTAACATCGAAAGAGACCAAATGTTTATCAGATACATTGAAATCTTTGATTTGCTTGACAAACTGAAATGAATCAGAAACTACATACGTTCCGAAGCGTTTCCGTAAGGGCTGCAACAGTTCACATAGCCACTGTGCTAATTTGTGGTATGGTGAGTTTATCATCAAGAGTATGGGTCTTAACGGTGCTCCTGGTTTGTGTATTTTAACACGTTCGTATAGTTTTGGGATTTGTGACCCAATCGGTTTGATATTTCTATGTGTGTTTTCACCAATGTATTTCTTTTTGAAGAGTTGCCGTAGATGCTGCACAATTTTCCTTTCGGTTGACAACGTTTGATCTTTTGCGTGATTATCCAATTTGAATTCAGATTCATCAGAGAGAATTTGATGCATTTTTTCCAGATAATCTATCTTATTCATTAGCACTACGCTTTATCCTTTATCAGCTTGTACAATAACAAGATTATTGTCTTTTCGGAGCTTGTTTAGTGATCTCCAGTGTTCTTTGGTGATATGCGACTTTTGATTGGTAGGCATGATTCGAAATTGGTGAGCAATATCAACCATCTTTGCTTTCAACCAGCTTTCGCTGTCGTTGGACGTAGCATGTAGCCCCATAAGTTGGTCATAAAGAATTTCGAATTGGCATTCGATGTCAATTTGCTTTATCTTTTTCATGGGAACATAGAAGTTGAATCCCAATGACAAAATTTCTGCTTGTTCTTTTGATAGGGAAACATCAGATAAATTGTGAACATAATTAGATATATCCACTGGGAAAATTTCATTTGGCGGTTCCGGATAAAGTGACTTCTTCAGTTTCTTTTCTTCTGATACTTTTGTCTTTTTAGAAGTGGCATGCAGATATTTACTGGGTTTAAGATAACATACGAAGTTTAAGTCATTTTGTACACCGATCAGTTTGCTTGATAACACGCATAACTTACTGATTGCATCTGTTTCAGAAGACAAATGTGATTCAGCAAGACGGTAAAGATTTAGCCGTGTAGGTCTCAAATGATCTTTACGCAAGGATTTGTAAAATGTCCGAGGATAAATATTAGTCTGGATACATTCCTTCAAAAAATCTCGTCGCGCAGAGTGTTTAGCAATCCTACACCTCAATTTCACTAGATCATTTAGTGCATTGATAGTGCTTTCCGGGAGACGCTTCTTCAAGAATTGAAAACATTTATTTTCCGATACGAATTTAAAACAAGCAATATATGTTAATAAAGCAAGATTTAATGAATTCATCAAATTTCGGTAGAACTCGTATCGGAAAATGAATGTTTTCAATTCTTGAAGAAGCGTCTCCCGGAAAGCACTATCAATGCACTAAATGATCTAGTGAAATTGAGGTGTAGGATTGCTAAACACTCTGCGCGACGAGATTTTTTGAAGGAATGTATCCAGACTAATATTTATCCTCGGACATTTTACAAATCCTTGCGTAAAGATCATTTGAGACCTACACGGCTAAATCTTTACCGTCTTGCTGAATCACATTTGTCTTCTGAAACAGATGAAATTAGTAAGTTATGCGTATTATCAAGCAAACTGATCGGTGTACAAAATGACTTAAACTTCGTATGTTATCTTAAACCCAGTAAATATCTGCATGCCACTTCTAAAAAGACAAAAGTATCAGAAGAAAAGAAACTGAAGAAGTCACTTTATCCGGAACCGCCAAATGAAATTTTCCCAGTGGATATATCTAATTATGTTCACAATTTATCTGATGTTTCCCTATCAAAAGAACAAGCAGAAATTTTGTCATTGGGATTCAACTTCTATGTTCCCATGAAAAAGATAAAGCAAATTGACATCGAATGCCAATTCGAAATTCTTTATGACCAACTTATGGGGCTACATGCTACGTCCAACGACAGCGAAAGCTGGTTGAAAGCAAAGATGGTTGATATTGCTCACCAATTTCGAATCATGCCTACCAATCAAAAGTCGCATATCACCAAAGAACACTGGAGATCACTAAACAAGCTCCGAAAAGACAATAATCTTGTTATTGTACAAGCTGATAAAGGATAAAGCGTAGTGCTAATGAATAAGATAGATTATCTGGAAAAAATGCATCAAATTCTCTCTGATGAATCTGAATTCAAATTGGATAATCACGCAAAAGATCAAACGTTGTCGACCGAAAGGAAAATTGTGCAGCATCTACGGCAACTCTTCAAAAAGAAATACATTGGTGAAAACACACATAGAAATATCAAACCGATTGGGTCACAAATCCCAAAACTATACGAACGTGTTAAAATACACAAACCAGGAGCACCGTTAAGACCCATACTCTTGATGATAAACTCACCATACCACAAATTAGCACAGTGGCTATGTGAACTGTTGCAGCCCTTACGGAAACGCTTCGGAACGTATGTAGTTTCTGATTCATTTCAGTTTGTCAAGCAAATCAAAGATTTCAATGTATCTGATAAACATTTGGTCTCTTTCGATGTTACCTCCCTCTTCACAAATGTGCCAGTCGTTGAGACTATCGACTTCATATGTAAAGAAGCTGAAGACATACCCATTCCAATATCGGAATTGAGGAAATTGCTACTTTTATGTACTAAAAATGTCCAATTCCAATTCGACAGGCGTCTATTCGGTCAAGTTGATGGTGTCGCAATTGGAAGCCCTTTGGGGCCACTTTTCGCTGCATTTCAAGAGCTTTGTTCTAATCCAGTAGAAAAAGAACCTAGTCAGAACACTGTTCAGTAGAGCACGAAAAATTTGTTCTGACAGTACTGTTGAGCATGAAATAAAATCTCTGAAGGATATTTTATCTAAGAATGGATATCCTGAGAAGTTCATTAATAAATACTCTACAGAAAATAGGCCCTGCAAAACAATCCAAACAGTTCCGAAGAAACCTGTCTATATCAGTTTGCCGTTCAAAGGAGATGATGTAAAGGAAGTAGTCAAACGAAGACTTGACAAAGCCATCAAGAGAACTTATGATGCTGCAAAACTTGTTTTCCTTAACACCACTAAGCGAGTGCTCCAACAATCTGGGAAAGACCAGTCGCCAATCCTCGACACTTCAAACTGCCGCTTATATAAATTTGAGTGTGTTTGTGGAGGCAAATACACAGGACATAGGTACGGAAAGGCGACTGTCTACTCGCATGATGGAGCATTTGCCAAAATGTTTGAAAACAGCTGAGTGCAGAGTGCCAAAATCCTCAATAACAAAACATCTTGTGGATTACGGACATGATATCGACGCGGTCAAGTCAATCACTATTGTCAGCAGACAAAGAAACAAGAAGATGCTTGCAAGTGCAGAGGAGGCTTGTGCAATTCGAGTTTATAAACCAGGTCTCTGTGTGCAAAAGGATATGGTTGTGACTCTGAATCTACCATGGTAATACGTTTTACTTATTATTCTACCTCATTATTATTATTCTTGATTCATTTAAAACTATCCTTTATCAGTAGGATTATCTTAACTCACTTCAACACTATTATTATGATTATTATTTTTGCTATTACAACTACTACTATTGATATTACTCTGTTTGCGATTCTTGTTATATTCTCTAATGTCTAATTGTTTATCTAAGTGATGTAATTGAAGCGTAATGCAATTTATCTTAGTTTTGATCTCCCATACTCTCTCTCCCTTTATCTAATTGAACATGACCTGGAAAAGATTTGCACCTGTCTTTCTGCATGACTAATTCAGTGGAGTTTATTTGCTCGCTTATCAGTCTTATATTTCCCAATGTAATTTCAAAAGTATATATATCCGTGTATGTAGAGTATTCAGCTGAGGAAGAGTTCTATCGAAATTTGATGTATTCATTAAATGGTGCTTTTTTAACCTTTATTGCCATATGATTGCTTAACGAGCTAAGAATCGTGCACCAAATGAACGAAAGTTACACGACGGCCTGCCAAATGGCATGGGTGTTTTACCGGAAGGAATCCTTCAGCCGAATAAATTGACTAAAACAGTGAGGGTCAGCACCTAATGTTCATTGATGAGTGCTGTGGCCAATAGTTCTGAGGAATTACCTACCACTACAGTGCAATGTGAATAGTTTATATTAGAACGTTGGAGGTAATCGGCCATAGGAAGCCTTCGGCCACCTAGGTTTCGTGCTAGTTGGCACCCACCAGCTAGCAAAGCGTATCTGCAACCTTGAAGGTAGTCCTAGGCTTTATCTGACAATCTACCGTTTGAAAGTCAAATAAGTAACGCAACGAGTTACACACCTGTGTGTAGATCAGCCCAACTGTGGTATATATATACATATACTCAATACCTTACCTTTCAATTCGTAATTCTTCTTTATCTCCTTAGAATTATTTGATGAAATTGGAGTATTTTGATGATCCGAATTACCGGTACCATGTGCTTGTGACTTATTTTTGATTGAATCACTGACTGAAGAAAACCATTCTAAGAATATTTCCCTAGACAAAAGAACAAAGGACAATAAATATATCATCGTGAAGTTGACTCGTTTTGTTTTCTTTTGTTTTAAAACATGGAAGTGAATTAGTTCATAAGTAAATCATTGTTATTAAAACACATTATGGGTACACACCAAGAGATACGCTACACAAGGGCTGGGATAATACCATAACGCCAAGAGAGAAGCACGTGATTGACTGTCTTAACAGGCCACCCGCCTTGAGCCATTGACTTGAAGTCTGATCCTCAAGCCATTGGCAGTGGAGAGGCATCAAGAGCTATGTTCCCATGGTTTCCAGAGACCAAGTACTTCACAAAAGACTACTCATGAAGTTGGAAAGTCTTGGTATCAAAGGCAGATTACTAAACTGGATTAGTGAATTCCTCATAGATAAGAGGCAGAGGGTCAGGATCAACTCGAAACTCTCCTCTTGGACAGTAGTGCGTAGCGGAGTGCCAAAAGGCATGGTACTCGGACCTCTCCTATTTATTTTGTATTATTATAAATGAGTAATCTCTGCCCACCGACTCCCCTATGGTCCTATACGTAGATGACTTAAAAATTTGGAGAGAGCTGAAGGGCAACAGTTATACGTCCACGGTGCAAGAGGACCTCAACAAATTGTCAGAGTGGTCCAGAGAATGGATGCTCCCGATAAATGTGGCAAAATGTGTAACCATGCGCATCGGACAAGCAAGTATCAGCTCCTACGAACTAGAGGGAATAACGCTTCCATCAGTTCAGACTCAATTGGATTTAGGTGTCATAATTAGCCACGATTTAGAAAACTACAGCACACTGTCGAGCGGTGGGTGCACGTAGTTTCAGGTCCTTATGGGCAATTCGCAGAGCCTTTACTAGAATCACCAGAGATATGTTCACCTCCTTATATACATCTGTGGTGAGGTCAAGACTGGAAAACTGCATTCAGACCGGCAGCCCTTGTCTAAAAGGGGACTCACACATTCTAGAAAGGGTTCAAAGGAAGGTAACACGTATGGTTCTCGGAATGACTAATTTATCAAACGAGGAAAGACTAGACAGTTTAAATCTCTTCTCCCTGTCATACCGTAGGCAGAGAGGAGATTTAATCAGAATGTTTAAAATTTTAAATAATGACTACGGACCTGACCTATTCTCTCTTTTCCTTCCCACCAGGTCGAGACACCTTAGAGGACATAGCAGGTGAGTTCAAAAGCCAAGCAGAAATCATATTGTTGTTGCGTACTGGTTCTCACACCGAGTCATAAACTCTTGGAACCGATTCCCAGAAGTGGTGTCTGCAACCTCAACTGATTCATTCAAGAAGGGTTTGGACAACCACGGAAATTTACTAGAAAAGGATTAACATAGTCTCCAAGCCTATATCTGAATCTGAAATCTAAAACAGGTTCATCACACGCCACTCGATCCTTTCAGTATAGATTTGGAATTAGGGCTTTTCATGCCCCATCTGGTTGAAAACACCAGTCAATCTGAGTCGAATACGTACATATGTATAAACTATTTTTTTTTAAATAATCTAATAATAACTAGTAAGTAAGCATTTAGTCACCTTTCTATTCCACTGAAATATCTAGTACAATACTCTACATAGAATTCTCAATTGTCATGTATAACTATTTGCAGAGACTGGAATGGTTATTACTCAAGATGAGACTAACAGCACACACTATGTCACTGCAAATAACTTATGCTGTGATGACCAAAAAAGGATGAAAAAAAAAGTAAAGTATTTTTCTCAGAAGGTTAATCTTCCAGCTGAACGAGAGAAGGATTAGAAATGGTATGTTATGAAGACTATGCCACCTTGCCATATAGCTTCCGTTAGGAAAAGAACTCTCTCTACAACCTCACGTGTACCTGATCTCAAGTAAGCGTCTCCCAAGTTCTGAGGTCATGCTAAAGCAGTCTATTTTTTTCAAGAACTTCTAGAATAAATATATACATATATATACTTTCAACAGTCGGTTTGTAAGGATTAGATTTGTTTTTTTACGAGTTGATCACGGATTGATATCAGTTAGAGAACCATTGAAAACCAGGGAGTACTGGACAGCTGTTTCGAATCCCAGTGGGTGCGTACCGCCGATGATTCTCTAGCTGATATCAATCCATGATCAACTCGTAAATATATATATATATACCTTTATGATGTGGGAAGTTGAAAAATAAGTTACTACTGTCAAAACACAGTTTTTTCAATGATTCACAGCCAACCCTTTTAGTTATCTAGATAATACACCTCAAACTTCCTTTGACTGCTTACTCTGCGATCACCAATGTAACTATATACGACTTTTATTGAACTGAAGCCACTCTGCCAACTTTCACGTCGTAGGTGAAATATTTAAACCCTACTCGAAGTCAGACAAGAAGCCTCAGTATTTAAAGCTTGCTAATTCCCATCATTGGATGTATGTTGTTCTCGAAATTCATCAAAAATGGTCCAAGTGTGGCTATCACAGTCAACTTATTGGTATTAAAACGTTTGATGATTAGTTCTCGTTAGTGCATGGATGGTAACAACTCCCTAGGATAAGACGATGCCAAATATTCAGCTGCATTCCAGATAACAATCTTATGTATCTCGAAATCTTACTGCAGCACCTAATCTAAATGGAAACATAGCAGAAAACTTGGGCACTGTGGTAGAGTATAACTCCATAATGGTTAAGATTTTATTTTGATAAATCACACAGTGTTGTACAGTTATATTAACTGATGACGTTTCGAGCACAAACTATTGCTCATAATCATATCAAGTTACTTGATATGTGTTTAACTGATTTATCAAAATAAAATCTTAACCATTATGGAGGAAACACAGCATTATGCCCTGTCGACTTATTTCTAGAAAGAATACTATCTGTCAAAAACCGCTTTAGAGACTTTATGAAGTACTGTGCTTTGTTGAATGAACTAGTCTTCCTAAGAATTCTGCATTTGTTAAGCTTAAAATGCTGTTACAGAACTTATCTTGATTGATACTACATTTATAGCAAGGTGATGAAGTAAGTAAAAGACTCCATAGCTTAATTATTTCGGAAGCTGCATCGATTTTAATGGATTAGTTACGAGAATATGACAGACTCACACAGTATTCAATAGACTGCATTATCTACAACTGAAGATACACAACTTCGTCTCCAAATAGGATGGATAAGATAAAGGTGTGTAATATGTTTTGCTCGACAGCTGTAATATATGGCCAATGAAGATGAAATACATCAACACAGATATTTCGACAGCATTCTTCATATGATACAGCAGTATTCTCAGCAAAACAAGCAGTTTCTACAGCGATGGGAATATTCACCCTTGAAAGTGCCTGGTCGCCAAAGTGTACTAGGTAGATCTGTGAAATCAGTGACTGTTGACCAGATTATCGACAGCAGCTTAGGCTCTCGATCGTATAGAGAGAAATCTTTTGAAACAACACACTGGAAGCAACGGACAAAACCAGACAGTTGGAAGTTCACTTCGTCTAGGAAAAGATGTTCTGAACAAAATTCCTTCGTAAACAACATGAGAACTTTAATAACACCCCGCGACAAAACTCGTGGACTAACAATGGACTACCCAGGTAGTGGTAATAATTAATAACCCCACAATTCGCAACATGACCAGAAGAACCGGCTACAAGCATATTTTTTAAAGCTTAGAGAATTAAAAAATTATCGTCAGCCTTCCGTCTTGTTTATTTTTGTTTCATTCGACCGAACACCTTTTGAGTTTTCTGGGTTTCACTAGTAGCGTAACTGTGTCAAATTCTGCAGTGAAGTTAACCTCACTTTCAAAATCTTTACACATACTGAACTGTTGATACTCTTGGACTTATGCTTAGTAATTTTTGCAACGCGTTTTCAAAAACTGAGGACTAATTTTAGAGCTCCGTCATGATGATAACTAGAATATAATTACAAATTAATCACATAAAGTTGTTTCAAGAGCTATTTCTGAACACTCAGGGAGTAAGATTGGATAGGATGGACTGTAATTAAGTAGCTCACGGAATTAACTATGATCTAGTATGGTAATGAGATTATATATACAACAAATATCCTTTCAGTGTTCCACAAATTACCAGTCAGTGATTTACACTGAGTGGGGCAAAAGTTAACAATAAACACCTAACAAATATTCGCATCTTAAATATGAAAACGGCTCACTTGGGTATCTCAATAAGTTGAGGGATGTAAGCACCACACATAGTGAGGAATTCTACTTCGTCAAGCTCATCATAATCACAGCTTTCTACAATACCTTCCAAGTAGGTGATTATCTCTTCATCAAACCTGAGAAAAATGAACACTTTAAGGAAATACTTTTTACTGGTAACTAGAGTTCTTGACGTGCATTGACAAGAATTTAGTTAGACTTGACTTCAGATCCATCTTCAAGATGTGAAGCTGTAAAATATATAGGGGATTAAAGTTGTAGGGCTAGTAAGCAATTCATAAAAGGTAGTTTATTCGTCTATTATTTATTAAAATAAAATACAATTAAGAACTGAAGCAAGACAACTCTCGAAATTTCATTCAATCACGCTTTTTTTAGTTTTGTACATATTGCTAAGAGTAGCTTGTCTCTGTAAAACTTCTAGCAAATCTTCATTTTTTCTCAATTCTGCTTCTAATACACCTTGGTCCTTGATTTCACCAAGTTTTTTGAAAGTTCTATTTATCTTTCGTATAAAATACGAACGGATGTTATAGTCAGGAAACTTCTGAGCCTCTTTCAAGAGCTTTGAGGATAAACTTTGCATGCGAAGTTGGATGGACGCCATCAACTACAATAACAATAACCTCACAGCAGTAATCAAATTTACATACGCGCCGCCAGTTGCAACAAGAAATGTTAACCCTTACTTTATAGGACAATTGGGCAATGCCCTTGAGGCTTTCGTCCAATGTCCAATTCCATGGATGATTTATTGACGAGCTTCAATAAAGCTATTCATCTCTTAACGTTAGCTTTCTGATATTATTACATTGCTTCGGATCATGCGGGATCTAAGTGTAATAAATCTGTAAGAGTTGAATTTGGGTTAATTTCGACCTAACAATAACCACTCTTACAAAACTTCTTCACCGCTTATGGCCCTAATCGTACTCTGCCTAACGTGCAAGTACTAACGAACGGAATCAAGGTTAAAAGACCTGAGATGGCAAGTGTGACTGGAACAGAATTGTATTTACACAAAAGAGATATAGAATTTGATAAGAAATAAGAGGTACACACTTATCTGCAGGTGAGGCGGTTTAAGCTCGGAGAGTTTGCTAGGTGAAAGCACAGCGAGAGAGCGAAACCGGAACCGCACAGGAGGTTCAGGAATACAAAGCGGAAGTGGGATTAAAGGTCAGGCTGAGTTCATTCAAACAAAAGTTCGAAGGTACAATGTACACTACAGGTTATCCCCCCTTGAAAGGTTGGTGGCATAACAGCAAGCTTCCATATATAGAAGTAGCAAGGGTGTGTACAATAACAGTGAATGAACAAGAAAGTGTGAAGATAGTAATAAAATAGTTTTTTTGAAATATATATAAATATTGTGAAAGGAAAGAATGAAGGAAAAAAGTTAAGGCAATTTATAGGCACTATGTACATGATCAATGGTGTAAGATGGAATATAAGAAGAAATAACGCTGGTGCCTTGGTGCGATTTCGAGCTTCTGAGTTGTCTGTTTTTTTTAAACTTCGTTTATTTTTACTTATCTTGTTTTTATATATCCGTTTATTTAGTATTTTCTTTTTACGACATACTATTACGGGCTGGATTATGTGGAGGTCTGATGGTTTACCTCCGTTACCCAGGTTGTTATAACGGGAAGGTGACTCATTATGTCTAAGTTTCATCTTACACTAATGCCCCATCCTTCCGCATCAACCACAACTAGTAGTAACACCAAACGCAATCAATATACCGGTGTATTAGGAGGAGTAAAGTAAAAGCAACAGAAAAGAATAGAAGAAGAGGTTAAGATTTAAAAATCAGCATAAGGTGTTAACAAGAACTGAAGCGGAATAAATGCGAAGGAACTAGTGTAACATGGGAGTGGTACGCCAAATTGAAATAAAACAAGGGAAATTGTTAGCGCTGTGAAAACTTATGCAAGGTACAGTGAATTGTGTGTATAACCAATAGCTATGAGTAAGTGCAATCAACATCTTCTTAAAAAAATGTTGCGAGCTGTATGATTAAAGTGATGCAAAGTAATTACAAGTATGGGTCACAAAATAAATAAGTTTCATCATGGCATAACCCGAGTGAAAATAGTAAAATCTGTGAAAATAGATTGAGCGGATTGAAATGTACAGCATAGAAGTGACGTATTTATATGCAAAAATATTTAACGGTCCGTTTAACTATACAGTGAAAGTTTTTGTTTTTACATTTTATTATATTTTTCATTTATTTTATTATTTTTTTATCTGGTCTATATTTTTGTTCGTTTGGTTTGTAATTCCACAAGTGTTGGGGAGCCACCATATGACAATGGAGTGGACTGGTCTAGCTAGCGGTTCGAGTGCAACGCCAAAAATAAAATGTTAGAACACTCTGTAACGAGAAAGAAATCTAACAGGATTAGTAACTGAAAAAGTGGCTACTGCCCACAAACGAAACCCAAAAGAGTAAATTTCATGAAAAATGAATGTAACCTGAGAAAAGACATGAGGGCATGAGCTACTCTTGTAATTAAAAGCGTTTAGTTAACAAATTCACAGTATCGCTCAGGCCAGTGTACACGCCGACCAGCGCGTGTAACCTGTGCTTTACTTGTCTCATCCGGAGAACTGCTAGGTTTAGTAGGATTTTCGACAATCGAACTTGGCTGGGGTGTGGGTGCGGGCGTAGTTGCTGGTTGTGTAGGCGTGAGGGGTACAGATTCTTCGATGTAGGCCGCTTTAAGTCTGTCGACACTTACGGTGTCTTGACGGCCAAGTCGATCAATAACAAAAAATTTTTTTCCTACTAACGACCTTGAATGGTCCATATATATATATTTATTCCTGTTTATGCAGGAACATACCAATTGTACAGGCATGGATAAGTTATTATATAAATTACAGTTTGTTTGTTCAATCTAACATTAGAGTCAGTCAGAACAGTCTGCAAAATAGTCTGTCTGTGTAACACATATAGAGATATAGAAATATTGTCTTCGCATTAACAAAAAACCCAGACTTCAGATGAATGTGATACAAATATCTGGGAAAAATAAAGCTTGAAGTCAATTCTCCTATAAAACTTTGTTGTGAACAGCATCCGTGAGATAAAGTTTATTGATGTATTATTTTGATTCAATAATGTATTTATTCCATTTTTGTCAGCAGTCTTATCGTAGTTTTATAATAGGAAAGAAATTTGATCTTTGATACGAAAGTTAGATAAGGTAGTGTTAGATTGTTTTACTGCATCAAATGGGGTCAATTCTAGAACTATCCATTTGCGCCATTTGCGTCAGCATGGCAGACTGTACATGTAAGTTGAGTAATACATTGAAAACTGCTTGAAAACCAGTTGCTTCTTTATTTCAGATCAAGAACACTCCTTGTACAGAATGTTAGCCAGCGTTTTCAAGTGGTTGCATAGGATCGTTCATGGAATTTGAGTTTGAATTTACATAAATGGTCATTTCAGTTTGGATGTTGGGTTGTTCGACCTCAACCAGGAGGTATATAGAAGTTTACGCTCAGCAGGGAGATAAAGTATGTAAATATGAAAAGAACTTTATTATTTTATGTACATATAAATGTTTATAAATGTATATCATTGTATAGTAAACACTACCCATAATCTTGTTGTTTTTTATGTAATTTTGCGAAGTCTTAGAGTTTATTTAGTGTCGCAATATTTAGTAATGAGTCTAGGCGTTATAGTGTGCTAATAGCTCATGCGTTTTGGAAATAAGTGGTGCGGTGTGATTGGCATAGTCATTGGGATGAAGCAGTTTATATAGCAAGCGTTTGAAGGTTATGATAGAGTGACAGGTCCTTATTTCTTGGGGTAAACTGTTCCAGATCTTAGAGTACATGACTATGAAGAAGTTTGCACGGAGTGCTGTTTTACAGTTTTTCCTAGATACTTTGCACGTTTGGTTACGAAGGTTGTAAGAGCCTTCCGGTGAGAACTGTATCTCTTTGCTGTCTGAGAATGATATTTTATGCAATATTTTAAAGAAGAATGTTAGGTTAATGCTCAGTCGTCTCATCCAGAGTGGGTCGATACCTAGAGTTATACACCTTGATGTGTAGTCATTTTCGCAGTCAAATCCTAGTAGTTTAGACGTGAAGTATCGTTGAACACTTTCTATTTTAAGTTTGTCACTTACGCGAGTGCTGCTGAGAATAAATGGACAATATTCAAGTAGTGGTCTGACACAAGTTTTATATAATAATAGCTTCGCTTCGTAGTTGTGGAAATTCCTGAGTATGCATCCTAGAAGCATCCTCGATTTACGCGTCTGTGTCGCCACTTGCTCGGAAAATGTCAAGTCACTAGAGTACCTGAGTCCTAGGTCAACAACACTTTGGAGTTTAGGCAAGTCGATGGATTCAAGTACCAGTTTAATATTTATTGAGGGTGCACCGAAGCATATCCAACCACATTTTTTAAGGTTGAATTTTAGGTTCCATGTGGAGGACCATGCAGTTACTCGATCTGGTTCTTCCTGAACAGCTTTCTGAAAGTACCCTAAGTCATCACAGTGGAATGTGTAAGCTACTTTAAGATCATCTGCAAAGATGAATGGTTTGCCTAGTGAGAAACAGCTGCATATGTCGTTGACATATAGAGTGAATAGGAGGGGGCCTAAGACGCTACCTTGAACTACTCCAGAAGTGACTGGACTAGGTTTAGAGTTTACAGAACCCAGTCTAACTACTTGGGACCTATTGTTAAGGAATGATTCAATCCATCCTAATAATGGGTTACGTATCCCTAAGGATTTCAGCTTATTTATAAGAAGCAAGTGGTCAACGCGGTCAAAGGCTTTGGATATGTCGAAGTAGATGACAAGTACTAGTTGTTGTTTGTCGCGGCTGCTAGTTATGTAGTTAAAGAAGTCAACGTGACATGTCATGCATGATCTGGATTTTAGTAATCCATGTTGGTTTGGACTTAGAATATTGCGGCTGAGCATATGTTTGAGGATATCATCTTTAACTATTCGTTCAATGATTCTAGATACTATGGGTGTAATATTGATTGGCCTATAGTTGTTGACTTCAGTTTTTGATCCGGATTTGTGTTTGGGTACTATAAAGGTGGTTTTCCATTTATCTGGATATGTTTGGCTTTCTAGGGACATTGTAAAGATCTTAAGTAGTAAAACGGGAATGTCAGAACCAACGTGTT